CACAGTTTTGGAGGCATTTAGTAAGATGAAAGGCATAGTTTTATGCAAGTAGACACCTCTTGCTGAATACTATCTGCAGTCTCTGGGCCACATGGAACATAAAGCTCGAGGACCACTCCCCGTTGAAATTTTCCAATATTAGGTCAGGCCATGTACTTCACAAAATACCAACTAGGAATAACACCAACTTCCTGAGTCATTATGACCTGGTTTTGATTGTGTGAAGGTGAAGCCCCTTTGGAAGATTTAAGTTATTGTATGGGTATACAATATAAGTGGTACCTTGATTCTGTTGGCCATCCCAATAACTTATTTTATAATGTTTTTTTTTTTTTTTTTTTTTTTTTTTTTTGAGTTGGAGTCTCACTCTGTCGCCCAGACTGGAGTGCAGTGGCCGCTCCCGGCCACCGCAGCCTCGACCTGCTGGGCTCCGGCGATCCTTCCGCCTCAGCCTTCCAAGTAGCTGGAATTACAGGCATGCGCTACCATGCTCAGCTGATTTTTTGATTTATTGTAGAGATGAGGTCTCGCTGCCCAGGCGGGTCTCGAACCCGCGGGCTCAGGCAATCCACTCACCTCAGCCTCCCAAAGGCGCGGGATTACAGGCTGAGCCACCGAGCCCGGCTTCCAATAACTTATTTTAAATGATGATTTTGAAATTGGAAGCTCTTCAAGTTTTTCGTTATTGCTCCTTTTATGGAAAAAGCATTGATTAACAATTAAGGAGAGTAAGGACAATGGTCCCCATTTGGGCAAAAATCAATGTTATATGAAGCGTATCTGGAAGTAGCTTGACTAATTGGGAGAAATTTTACATCTTAATCCACACTAATCCAAAACACCACAGAAGTTTGCCTGAAATACCCTTCTTAACCACATGTTCTTCTCTAAGCACACATGCCTGAGTTTGTTCATGAACACTCAGACACACACGCAAATACACATATTTTGAAATGGCACACATCCTAGAATTATTCTCAATTTCGCATAGGACTTATGCTATGTAAACTCATTTTAATTTTACAGTTGCTAAAAGATTTGTGTGGTGTATGCTTCCTCAATGAATTAGAAAGAATGCTAATATTTCAAATATAAAATAAATGAATCTAGTGAAAACTTTTGGTGAATTACGTCAGCTCTAGGCCAATAAGAAAAAAATAAAGGAATATATAAATACAAAAAATAAAAACTTGTTGACATGCTTTAACATTTCTTGGTCCATAAGATACAAGGAAGGAAAATGCATATATTCATATTACCTGAATTTTAGTAAAAGTTCAAATAAAACTTGCCAAGTATTTTAAGTAGCTATATAAATAGCTTTTACTTCTGTTTTCCATTAAAAACAAAAGCAAGCACTTTTTATTTCCACAGGCAAGTGGATTTCAAAACTTTTCCTAGCATTGCATTGTTACTTTGATAAGAAATTAGTGCAGATACACCCATACATGATTGAATAACAGTTATATAATCAGCATAGCACATTATCCACTGTGTTCCCATGTGATTGATAGACTTCTCTGTGATCCCAAATCTATGCAACATATTTTGGGCAGAAAGACAAATAAGAATTACCAGACACAGAAAATAAAATAGCTCTAATGAGCACTGTGACTGTGGATATTTATATGGGGCCTAGGATATTGGCTGAAAATGAAAAAAGGGGGGAGGATTCAAGATTTCAATGGCATAGGTGGACTTGTGAGATTCTCTGAATGTGAATTCCCAAAAAGACTCCTACTTTTCTTTCCCCATCCCCCAGCCAACCACCAGCCATGCTGGTCTGAGGTCCAGGGACCTTCAGTCCCATGCAGGGCTGGATATTGTGGCCCCCTGCTGCTGCTGGTCCACCACATACATGGGAGTCTCAGGTCTCAACTCCCTCCCTGGTTACATCGTCTCTAGCCCAGCACCCAGCACCAAGCTGCTGGTCACTCAGGGAGGCTCTAGGCGCCTGCTCCTCAGAGACACTGGTCCCATTCCTGACTGAAGTACCTGTGGGGGGCCTAGGGCCACTCTCGCCACCCACCACCTGCCCTTTGGAGCTTTGGAGCTCTGGAGCTCTGGGTCCACCCTGGCTGAGGCACTCAGCATGTGACCCCAAGCTTGGGGACCCAGACAAACGGAGAGAAACGGATCTGCAAAAACTATCTCGGCCATTCTCCAGGCAGAGACTTCCATTGCCCCGCCTACCTATCAACAAACCCCACCTTGGTTCCTAAGGTAATGTTGCTAAACAGGAGACAAAGCCCCACCCCTATGCTGAATCAGACAAAAATAACCCCCAGGCAGAAGACTAAAAAAACAAGCAAACCCAAATTGCAAGTAAATGTAGCTGCCTGCAATGAAAAACAAAGGGGAGAGGCCAGAGATCAGAGCTGAAGTGACTTTAGTCTGATCTCTTATTTGACTTATGATTTTATAATTTTGACTGTTTATTCTGATCACTTTTGTTGTTTGCCTTCTGATTTACACTGATTCATGATTTTATTGGTTTGTCTCTGTGAAACTATCAGTATTCTTTAGGGAATCTTTCTTACATGTCTTTTTTCACTTCTTTCCGGCCTTGTGCCTCTTTCTCACCTGATAGTTGGTATGTATGTCTGTTTTCCCTCTCACTCTTCTCTCTTTCTAACTTCCTATTGACCCCCTCTTCCTCCATTATTTTCCTCTTTTATACACCCTTTTTAATCTAGGGACCAAGACTACATACTGATGCAAGGAGAGATTGTAAGGCAGAGGGAAATAGGTTCCAGTGTGCTCATACATCTGTTTGTGGATGCTAGAATCAGCATATACTTTCTGAACCACAGCCTCAAAAGTGAACAAAACCAGAAGACCCTCATAAGGAAGAACAGGATATTGCAGAAGAGAAACAAAGCAACCCACCTTCCCTCAAAAAACAAAATTAAAGAAGGGGAGGGAAAGGGGGAGAGAGAGAAAAATCAACACAAATGAAGAAAAACCAAAAGAAGAGTATGGGTCTCTCCCAGACTCCTGGGAAGGCAGACACTGAGAAAACTGACTTTGAAATGCAAACAATGAAGAGCCCCCAGAATGAAGGGTCTCAAACTACAAACCTAGATATTAAGACATTAATGGAGAGATTAAAAAGAATTGAGGAAAGACAAGAAGAAACTAGGAAGGACCTAATATCTGAGATAATAGTAATAAAGAATACTGTGAATGAAATAAATAACAAACTGATAAGCATGGAAAGCAGAATTACCCAAGCAGAAGAAAGAATCTCAGAGCTAGAGGACCAAAATATAGAACTCACCAAAACTCTTAAAAACACAGAAAATAAACTCAGAAAGACAGAACAAAACCTTCAAGAGATGAGTGATTACTTCAAGAGACCGAACCTAACAGTAACTGGCCTTCCTGAGGCAGAAAGAGAGACAGAGACCACACTGGAACAAACTTTCCATGAGATCATTTAAGAAAACTTCCCTTATCTAATCAATGATGTGAAAATTCAAACACAAGAGATTCAGAGAACCCCTGCAAGACAACAAATGAGAAGACCAACTCCTAGACACATAATAATTCACCTAACCAATGTAGGCATGAAAGAAAAAATCCTAAAGGCAGCAAGAGAAAAAGACCAGATCACCTACCATGGAAGACCAATCAGAATAGCAGCAGATTTATCTTCAGAAACCCTGCAGGCTAGGAGAGCTTGGAGCCCTATCTTCAAAATCCTAAAAGATAAACAATTTCAACCAAGAATAACCTACCAGACCAAGCTAAACTTCATCAGTGAGGGAGCTATAAATCTTTCCCAGATATCCAATTCATAAGAACTTAGGCTGCCACCAAACCACCTCTACATGAAACACTTAAGAAATACTAAACACAGAAGAAAAGGGAAAAAAAACATGTTTCACAAGAGTACAGGAAAAAGAATAAAATATACATGAACCAACTCCAAAACCAAAAGAAAGACAAAAAAACCAAGTGGAAGAACAGCAACTCTATAAGAACTCTATGATAGGAATGAACTCTCAAATTTCA